ATCTTAAGGCTCCTGAGAACTGATGTCATGACTATGGCATTACTCTCCTGTCAGTTTCTTCTGTTGGTTTTGTTCTTCAAGAGTGGCAATTAAAAAATATGGCTTCAGGTTTTTTGTCCCTCTTCCTGGGAATCTGAGTAGGCTTGTGACTCTTTCAACCAGCAGAGCATGGCAGAAAGTGAGCTATGATACTTCCAGGGTTAGGTAATAGAAGGTCATGCAGGCTCTGGCTTGTTCGCTGAAACACTTGCTCTTGATGTCTTTACACCTAAATGCAGCAGGTTGGAATCCCTTGAGTCCGCCATGCTGCAAGGAAGCCCAGACCACATGGAAAGACCGTGACAGTTCCAGGTGGACAGTTTCAGCTAATTCCAGCCTTCAAGTCATTTTTCAGCCAAAACACCAGCTACATGAATGAAGAAACCGTCCCGGAAGTGGTTGCACCAGCCCCAGCTGTTCCAGCCCCTTGACATCATGCATTAGAAATAAGCCACCCCTACCCCATCCTTTATGAATTCCTGATCCAAAATTCATGAGGAAACATCATAAAATGGTGGTGGTTTGACAGCACTAAATTTGGGGTGATTTCTTACATAGCAGATTGCCAGAATAAGGGGGAAAGGCTGGATAAAAAGAATAAATTCCCTTTGGATAGGAAGTTAAGTTTTGAAGTTTTTTTTTTCCCAAATGAGGAAAGTATATTGTGTATGCAAACATTATTCTGTCAGGCTCTTTGGAAGCTGCTAGTGTCCACCCAGATTAATTCACTAGACTCTAGGTGCTCATTAACTGCCGACAAATGCCATCCCAATTAATCACTTGAGATTTCAGGTTCAAAATCCTGGGTTCTTGGATACATATATATTGCTCACCTGGAGCATCTGGCAGTTTGGGACCAGCTGAGGTCAACCTAGTCGTGAAATGACAGGAAAATATACAGCCTGGGTGTCAGTGCCACAGATACTAATGTTTCTTATATTTTTACTCTGCTTTTAAAACTGAGAATGGGTATAACTAGAAATTCCAGCCCATATTTCAGAGTCAGCTGTCTGTGAAAAATCCAGGCTTTCACAGAGCTGGAAGGGCCATTAGAAACCCACTCACAAAGCTCCCTCTTGTGCCCATCAGAGAGGGGAAGGGGCACACCCACGGTCTCAGGGTAGGGCCGTGTGGCCTGGACTCCCGACTCGCTGGATCATGCTCTTTTCTTTCAGCAAGCGTGTTTTAGGCTGGAGTCTGGTTCAGACATGAACTCGGGTGCTGGGCCAGCCCCTGTGAACCAGCTGGAATGGTACACACCGTTTTGTTCGAGTGTGCTTTTGTGCCCATTTCTGGAGAGAATCCACTCCTTCCATCTGATTCTTACCGAGATCAGTGACCCAGAAAAAATTAAATGCCTCTGCACTGATGATTTAATGCCATCACTTAAAAACTACCAGAGTAGGTGAAGTCTTGGCTTCCCTCATACCTACACCAGATGCTCCTGGGGAAATGGTTTAGTTGTTTAAGATCAGTGAAGAATGGGCACATCTTTCAATGTCAGGTGGTTAGGTGGAAACACCCAGCGACCACTCATCTTAGAATCTGTCTAGAAACATTGGGCAAATATCCACACATTCAAATCACTTTTGTGATTCAAAAGCAATGCACAATACAGGGCGAATTAGGTATTATTTCTCCTTGCAGCCATCGCAGTAGTCAAGGCAGGGAGAGCTGGGTTCTCTACAGGGGAGCTTAGCCTCTGCAAAGACTAACTTAATAGAAGTTTAGCTTTTATGTACAGCACCTTCCAAAGTGGCTGTTCAACAGCCCTTTCACATGGCATTCCAGGAGGCCAGGCTCCTTTTACCTTGGATTTCTGCCATCTTCTAGGGTCTTGGAGTCCTTTACTTCTAGCCAGCAGACAGGAAGAGAGGGCGAGTTGAGGACAGGGTCAGAGGTTTTTATGAAAGTTGAGTTCCATTGGCCAGAAATAAGTCAAACGGCCGCATCTTGATATAGGGGTGGTGGCGATGGTGGCGATGGTGCATCCTAACGACAACTACACGAATGAGGAGCACAGATGTCCCTTGGGCAGCTGGACCTATCTGCCCCAGATAGAGTGAGCATTTTATGGGTCCTAAATCTCAGAGAGAGAGATACAGTGTCTGAATGGGGTTTTCAGACAATACATGATGTTTACATGCAGATTACAATCTTCACTTCCCTGACAGTTTAGGAATTAAGGCGATCCTCAGAAACTGCAAAAGTCAAGATTGATTGGAATGTCATGTAATTAAGATAGGAAAATTAAAATTCTCGAGTATTTGGAGATTTTATTTTACATTTTAAAGGAGTAACGCCAGAGGGTAAGGCCCAATCTGGATTTTGAGCTGGCTTATATTATAAGAGAACTTGTATAATTATAGCACACAGAACTCTGTTTTCATTTTTGCAAAAACTATTGCTGCAAGTGTAGCTTTATTATTGCATGTTTGCCCTTAAAAATGGTTTAGTACTTGGCAGAAATCATAACAGCACATGCCTTCACCCTATGGTTTTTATTTTCAGTGTGTTGCTTAGTTGCTTCTTGATTATTTTTATTTGCTTTATACAAGGTTAACCTCTCCCCTCAAATTAGTTTAAGATTTTTATTCTGGAACTGGGAGTGGCAGTGGTATGAAATTATCATGAATTTCATTCTCAGTTTTTTTCATCAAGATGCTTTTGATGCCACATGGTTTCAGAATTAGTTACCTGTGAAATATATTTCTTCTGCCACTTTGACAAGGGGCTTATTTTCCGTTTTCTCATCTAGGAGAATAGGAGATTTTATTGGTCTGGGAACTCCAGTTTTGGAAGTGATCTTGAGGGCTAAGCAGCTTTGGAAGTTGGTTTTTATGTGATTTCCCCCGGTGGTGTGCTGGAACGGGATTTTACTGACCCGTGAAAGTCAAATATTGGAAATCCATTCTAACAACTAATGTTACATATTAAACACACAAACTCATGATGAAAAAAATTTTCATGAGTATTAAAAACTCATGATTTCCTAATTTTTACATTTTACTATGGTCTATGCTCTTGAGGTTATCACATCTCTATTGTCCATATGGTGGATAGTGGGGTGCACCTCTCTTCCCAACTCTGCATTCAGGGGTGCCACTTAGAGAGGCTGAAGTTAGCCAGGGGGGGTGCTGGTTGTTAATGTTTCCCAGCAGATTGGACTCCCCCACACAGGTCATATTCCTCGTAGGGTGGTGTTGAGGCTGGAAAGAGACAGGCAGTGCCAGGGACATTCTAGATGTGGGGTAAAGGACAGCTGCTTTTAAGGCCGTTCCTTCAGAAAACCTCTGCTATCTCCCCAGAGCCTAAAAATCACCATTGTGTTCAGATCTTTGCAGTCCTGGTCTCCAAAAATTCGCAGGCTCTCTTTCTGTTTGTCTCTTCATAAAATGGGTTCAGTAATACTTGACTCCCTCCCTTCCAGGGGTGTGTTAGGGGAAAAGAATGTCCTAACAAATATGAGACCACTTCAAGTAATTAGGAAGCGTTAATGCCAATTCTTCTCAAATTGGAGGTTGAAAAGTAGTTTTGCACAAATTTGCTGACTTGTGCCAGTGATGACTTTGAGAAGAAAATATGCTGCACTCCAGAGCTGCGGAGGTGATCGCCTAACGTGGGCAGTGTGGTCCATGAGCCAGTCTGCTGGGGTTGCTGGCAAATAGGAACAGGTATATGGATGAAAGGTCGCCTGCTTTCTTATCCAGGGAAGCCCTATCTTTTACTGTGGGATTCTGTTCTTCTGACAACTTTTGCATCAGTATGTTCTATCTTTATGAAATGGTGATGAGAGTAGATGCTGGTGGAGGGAGAATGCATTCTAATGCTCTTCCTTTGAATAAAGCTAGAAATCATGTTGATCCTCTTCTCTAGGCCCAGGGTTTTGTTTTTGTTTGTGTTTGTACTTTGTTTTTGAAAGTTTGTGGTCCAGTGGAAGGGAATGCCTGTAACTACTCCATTTGAGTTTAAATGATTATTCTGGAAGCAAGTAAGTCTCATGGAAGCGCTCCCTAGGTGACCTGTGCCAGCAGATTGGATATGCGTGAGTGCTTTTGTTTACTCCTGCCATGAGCTACTTCCATAAAACTGTTGATAATTATTAAGAAAAACAAAGCATGAACTGAAAAAAAACCTTTTCTTTAATCTCCTCTTCTGCCAAGGCAGCCTTTCAAAGTCTTGACAGAACTGTTCTTTTGAGAAGCGGCACGCAAAAAGTGAGCTTTCAAGCTTAAAATGGTAATTATGTTGTTTGCTTTTTACCTAAAGAAGTATTCGTCGTATTCCAGAAGCTGTTGGGTTTACATCTGGCTTTAGCCATTTTTGTCCCCCTTTAACACTGTTGATATTAATGCCAATTTCGATTTCTTGGCATCATGAATGCATAAACATATCACACACAGATGTGATTTTGAACAAGGACCAAAGCTGTAAATTAGGAAGCAAGAGATTCACAGGGTTTCATCAGAACAATTCACTCCAAAAATGACACAGTCGTACTGAAAAGGTTTTAAATTGCTCATTTCAAACCTACCTCAGTAGCAAAACGCCATGCGTGCAGCGGATTTGCAGCTACGTTAGTCATTTTCTTTCCTCCTTTCCCTTGCTGTGTTTGTATTGGGAGCACAGAGTAATGTAATTTAGTAAATGATGATTTGATGGCTGGGCAACAGCCCCAGTGTTGAACAGTATTTGGACCATGATTACTTACTGGCTTTGTCACAGTTGACATTCATTATTGATGGAAGTTTCAGAAATAGCGCATGTGCCAGGAGCTTTTCACCGGAACGCAGGCTCCAGGCAGGAGAGGTGCTAACGAGGGCCGGGGAAGAGGCACCTGTGGCTTGTTTGTGCCGGTGCACAGCGAACCTGCACCCGTGGGCTGCGTGGTGCCGGTGTAAAGGTCATGGTGTAACGGAAGGATGAACCGTCAGGCTTATTTCTATCGTGTTCCTCCCCAGGAATTGCACCGAAGGAGCCAACTTCAGTCGGAGCCGGCCAAGACGAAGGCTCTCCAGACTGTCATTGAAATGAAGGTAGGAGCTGTTCGCATGCCTCAAAAACACCTGTGCCTCCGGAGTTTGTTCTGACTCGGTGGTGCCTAACATAAACATGGGAAATGAGCCTTGTGTTTTTTTTCTGTAGGGTTCCTGGTGGGTGCTTTTCTTCTGGATCTTTTTGCATTCCTGGGGTGCATTTAATTTATTGGCTCCTTCATTAAGGTGCCTTTCCTGGGCAAAAAGAATAAGGGGCTTCAAGCATCTCCTGGCTGAAAGGAGCTGGGTTCATTTCCAGAGCATGGCCAGTGCTTTCAACCCCGAGGGAGGTTTTTGTGTATGCTTTGAAAGTAGATTTCTAAAGCTGGAATAATTCCTTTTTACCTCTATTCACATTACAATGAAAAGACACCTTGGGACACAAATATTTGGCAAAGAGAAGTAGTTTTGCATGCAATGGAGTCGTTAAATAATTAAAATTATGTGATCAGCAAAATTTGCTTTTCAAAGAATCATGCTTTCTTAACGGACTCCAGTTATTTTCTCCTAACCAAGTCTGGAAGCAATAATTAATAATTTATTAAATACTCGCAAGGTGTCCTTTTTCGCTGTGGAGACATTGATCGGCTATTTAAGAGAATCAAAGATTGTCTTGGATGGATTTAGAGCATTTAAAGAAAAATGAAATAAATGATGATGGCCAACCCATTATCTATGACTCAGAAACAGCTCTAAATGAAACCCAGTTGCTTTGTCAGTATCTACAAATTTGAAGTCTCTTTACTTCCAGTTTTTGCTGGAAGGAAGCAAATAGTAGAGTATTTATCTTAAGAATAAATAATGCTTGATTTCAGCTTTTCTGTGAAAAAGTCATAAAAGGTGATAATTTGCCATCTGCTGATTCCACGTCTGAGTTCACCACTCGAGTTTGCTGACCACCGTCAGCCTAAAAGTAAATTATGAAGCTTGTTGATAGGATAATGATTTTTCTGTCTTTCTTGTACCACATGATTGCGAATCGCCTGCCAAAAAATTCCCAAGTCCTGGGGAAAAGGAAACTAATATGAGCTATTGAATTCTTGGCATGCACAATTCTGACCTGGGATTTTCTTTTTTAATCCAAGTCAATGACAGTGTCTTCATCCAAGGTAGATCTTTGTGGAAATAATGTAGAACATTTCCTTCAAGATTTTATGTCCCCCAGATGAGGTTACATGAACTGAAGCCCTCAGGATGCATTTGTAGCAAATTGGTTTGAAAAATATCACCAAAGAGACCAAATGAGTAAGGTTAAAAAATAATTGCTCATCTTGACCCATCAATTCATTTGGAATTTACACAATTTTAACTTAGTTTGAAGAGAAACTTACCATTCTATACTTGCAGGGGAATGGTCTAGCACTGAGATTTGTCCTCATTTCACACTGGAACCGAACTTGAAACTTGGTTAAGGCATTTTTTTTTCTTTAAAATAAATGCAAAAAGAGAAGACAAAAGATTTCATTTTATTTTATTTTTTTTTGCAAAGAGTCATTCAGTACCCCTCCCACCCACCTACCTCCTCAGTCCCTAGCATAATTTAATAATGGAAAAGAGGATATATATAAAACCTATTTCCAAATTCTCATTTCTTTTTCAAAGAAAGAATTCTAGAAATCTTTGGAAAAACCAAGAATGATATTTCTCCCAGTGCAGTAGACATTTTCCCATAAAGATCTCTATATAATCAGTACTTTCTTGTGATAGTTATTTGTAGAAAATCTGTTTGATTATGGCTTACTGTTTCTAACAATGTTTTATTAGAAAACAAAAAAATAGTAAAAATATTCATTTGGGCTATCTACATGGGAAGGCATGACAACCTGATTTTTAGGGCAAATTCACATCCGTTAATTATCAGTATATTGAATCTGGAGTTTCCCTTTGATGGATGCCAATGAGGCTGAGTTGTAAACACATTTTTAGGACAAATGATGATCAATATAGTTGTTGCAGGGAACCGAGTCTGGAGTTTTTCTGTTGTCTTTTGGATGCCTGTTAATTTACAAAAGCACTACTTCCGGTTTGTCAGTGGAGAAGTCTGGGCCCCATTATCATCTGCACTCAGTGCTCAATGCATAAATTGAGTTATGGAAGCAGCTGGTAGAGAGTCAGCTCCTCAGCCATATGTGTATCTTGCAAGAGAGGCTGTAATCTCATCAGTTTTGTACATTACATCCCTGTGACCTTGGAGGGAATATTGGAAACCCATGATTTTCCAAGTCTTAAAGTTGACTACCAAATACAACTGGCCCTTCCACCCGATGGGTGGGACTTAGACACCATTGTGTTTTAACTTCAGCACCTTTGGGTGAACATCAGTGTCATCTGGCGCCTTGACAAATCTAAAGTGATAAGGAGCTTTCCTAGAGTAAATTGGGTCATAGTTTCAGGGAGATGACATGAATTAGGGGATTACTAATTATTTCTCTGCTCCCTTGCCTCTTAGGGAAAGAGGTTGAGCCTCTGACGCCTCATCTCCATACGTACACTTTGCATTCACTCGAGAAACGTGTTTGCTGTGAAAATCAGTGGAATCTTGCCCAAACTCAAGCACTTTTTGAACCACATTCTGCTAGGCTTAGTAGATTTCTTTGTAACCCTCTGAACTTCTAGACTTGTGAAAATATGTCTCTGAGGGCTGCATGCTGGGGAGGGCCATCTGCCCACATCAAAGCAGGGTGCAGTTTGCTTACAGCCATGACATCTACTGCCAGCCAGTTGAGCTGGGGGTGGGGGGCTCATCTCAATGAAAATGAAAGGAAACAAAATGAATGAAGTGATTTGTGATTTATCTTCTTGCAGGAAGCTCCAGCTTTTAACTTTGATTCCCATTTGGTCTGGCAGGTATGTTCCAGGTTTTGCACTTAGAACAGTGTGTGTGTTTCTCAGAAAAATTAGTGTTCTCCTAGCTGTTGCCGTGCTCCTTTTCTCACTTTTGCACCTGAACACTCTTTACTAATTCCTCTTTTTTTGCTCCTAAGGAGAACTGTCAGTAAAAATGGTAGTTAAAAGCCTTTTCTCTCTTTTTTTTCTTTCTTTAATGTTAATTCCTTTAAATGAGTGTGTTTTTAGCTTACTATAATTTTGATGTGATAGAAATATCATGTGTATCAAGTTTCATGATCTTGAATTCATTCATATTGCTGTACCCAGACTTTTTCTTTTAAGAAAATGAATTATAGTGATGACAGTCCTTGTCAGGTAATCTCAAACATTTTTTATTCTATGTTAGTTGGGACTTCTAAGTGAATGAAAATCTAATTCTAAGTGGCTAACGCCAAAAGGAAATTTATTGACTCCCTTAACTGGGGAAAAAAAACAGGGCATAACTTCAGGCACAGCTTGATCCAGGGGCCCAAAAGATGTTAACAGATCCCATTTTCTCTTTCCAACTAGTGTTTTGGCTTCCTTCACATGAGCTCAGTTTTCAAGAAGCCTCTTTCTGCTTGTTTGAGTGAGAATGGCTGCAGCAGCTCCAACAATCACAGCAGGAAGGGACTGGGAGAAAGTTGTGTTTTTAAAAAAAAAATGTAAAAAAACAAACCAACCCTAGAATAATGATAATTACTGAGGTGGAGCATAAAACTTCACTCCAAACTTCACAGCCCAGGCTGAACAGAAAATATGTGGAATTTGCTAGTTCTTATTTGCTTAATAAATTAAATGACACTCATTCATCAAGAAAAACAAACTTTATGTTTGCACTAAATTCATCATGATTTATTAAATGGGACATGTAAGAGGGACATAAGGGTTTCAATAAAAGTTGCAGATAATATACTTGATCTGCTGAACTTGTTAACTGAAGTGGATTCAGAAAGGAAAATAACGTCACCACGTGACAGTATTTCTATGGCAAGGGAAGTGAGGATTGTGGGTGTTTAGATTTCGAGTCACATGACCAACCGTGGTACCTGTGGGTCATGAGCAGTTCTTCTTGAGTAACAGGTGTCCATACCACGCTTTTCTAAGTGAACTTAGTAGTGAGCAACTCAAGATTCAGCTTGACTAAATTGATGATTTTTAGTTGTGTTTTGATGAAAGAATATAACTTTGCATCAAGGCCCTGAACTCAAGTGGCGAGGTTGATCTTTTGTTATGAAAACTAAAAACCAAGCCTTTTTTTATGCTCAGGCAGGTGACTCCTGTTCGTCTGCATGGGATTTAGCTGACCTGCAGTTTTGTTAAGTTTCCCCTTAAAAGATATCTTGATGTTTGGTGAGATTCACCCAATTCATTCCACTGAAATGTACTGGAACATGGAGAAGGCGGGAGCTAGTAGTTGGCAACTTTTCCCAAGGTCACGCAGCTGGGAAGGGAGAGACCCAAATGCAAGCTGGGTGCACTGAATACATCCCAGTTCCCAGTGTGAACTTGGAGTTCGAGTCCTGAGAAGACATCTAGTCTGGGACACCATGAAGTGGCTAAAATGTTTTCTTTGGCTCTAGGGCCTCACCGAGGTTAATTTAATCCATCTTTTGAACTGTTACTTTTTGAGTGTGAACACTGCGCTCTGCTTAGAATGGTTTCTCCTCCCAGAATGATGTGTGCAGAGGAAATTTGTGTTGAGCCTCGTTTTCCTAGCCAAGCCACTACGATGTCTTTTATGCCCTAAAGATATGCCCTGGCTCCTTTATTGGCTATTAAAAAGAATAATAGCAATAATGACAAAATTACCACCTGTACCACCAGCCTCACCCACTTACCACACATAGGGAGCCAGGCACAGAGCATCTGATGTATAAAAACCTGTGATTAGCCCATTTCACAGAAGAGAAAGCCACGGTTTAGAGAGGATAAGCAACCTGCACAAGGTCCCACAGATGGTTGGCCGGCGCCCAGATCTGACCACAGGTTCTTCTACAGAGTTCTTAAGGCTCTGCTTTTACTAAAGACAGCTGATAGGTGCAACTGGTGTTTCTTTCTGCACCTACTTCGGAAATTACACATTGTGGTTTTACATCATAGGTAAGGTTGAGACAGTTCATGAGAACTGT